TAAATGCTCCGTGTACAAGGTCAACGTAACTTTCTTCCAATACTGTTACACCAGAATTTCGCATTACTTCTAAAAAAAGTCTTCGGCGTAGACATAAGAGAACAGTAGCCAATGCACTGAAACTCCTCCATTCAAATCAGTTTAAGGCACTTTTTTTGTCGGGAGATAGCTCATAACTTGGTCACCTTTAGTTATTTTTTTACAAAAAAATTCTTTTACACAGTTAATTTATAAAAGTTTTAAAAAATTCCCAAGAATGAGCTAAATTTTAGACGGTCACGCTGGGTAGGCTCCTTAATTATTCGAAGAGTACCCCTGGAAGTCATTCTTCGACGTCGTCAAACTTTTCCGATGATATTTCTCATCAGTGGCCAATTTTTCTTCTGCGGATACGCGGAGTTATCAAGTTTATGAGTTTGAAAAGTCTCCGACCACCCCGTCTGTTCAATCTCGTAATCGAGACCAATTAATCACGTTGTCAGTTCCCTTTATCCCCATGCTTCACACTCGACCGAGTGAACGTCAATTCGTTACTCGATCAAACAAAAAGTGAAAACCATGGCAGGAAGATCCATCGACCGAATTCGCTGACAGAACAAGAAACTGAATATTTATCGAAGTTTCATTGGAAAAACTATCTGGAATAGAGCAGTTACCAAGGTCCGAGTGTTCCTTCCTTTTTCTTCGGTTTCGGCGGACTTTCCGAACTTCAGTTTCGTTCGCCGGTCGTTAAAGACCGATGACAATGTCCAATGAGTTTCTCGAGGAAATTTCAAGAGAAAATAGTTTGTGAAAGGAAATTTTCGTATGCTGATGAGCTACAGACCGTTCGAAGACTTTTTAGAAAGAAACTTTTCTTAAGAAATCGGTCGCCTCGTTCGAAGTTGAAACGAAACTATTTCTTAATAATTAGTTTCCTCGAGGCAGACGCGTTTCGGAATGATCGTCATTATTTTAGGGGACCTCTTGCTGCCGTTCGCCCTGGCTTTATCTCGCCCTTTATTATCCTTCTCCCCTTTATTCCGCGTCGCGCCGTTCCGCAAATAATGCAACTCCCTTTTTTACGAGTTTGCAGTAAAAGTAAATGATTCCCTGGTAGCCATGAATCGATTGTTCGGAAGGAATCGCCGGGTGGAGTGTATTGGAGAATTATGCCACCGCTACTATTTTTTATTAGGTCGCGATTTACACACGGCGGACCGATGAGTAACAGTTTTATTTTCTATAAAGAAACACGGTTCTCAATGGAATATTTCTGGACTCCTCTGGTGAACGTTAAGAGTCTGGTGAACGTCTGAGAATTTATAGTGTTTGCGATTATATAGTTAGTACTATAAATTCAGGATCGCGTGATTTACGATATGGATTTAACGGGAATAAATTGGCACCGCGTGTCGGGAAAAGTGTGTCTGGAAGTAGATAATTAAAAGGACACTGATGAAAATAAATGCGGTATTACGTTCGAAACTGAAACGCGAGTTTCGAAGTAGTAACGCCAAGTGCGCCGTTCCGTGTCCGCCCCACGATTAATTGCTCGACCATAACTTCAGCTATTGTAAAACATTACCGTTTCGCGTCTGGTCTTACGATTATCATTTAGTATCGTCAGACGAGTCCATCGTAGAACTCATTAAAGATGTATTGGCTATACAGTCAATCCCAAAAGTTTATGTACCTTAGAAAAACGCATTTCCTATAATTAAAAAGAAATCAGACGTCGGAAGAATAATGCTAATAATAAATAGCTACGTGCTGAAAAGTATAGAAGGAAATATCCAATTAAGTATTGACGCTGACGAAAATTTTTTTTTTCAAAACTGCGAAAAATGCTTCAAATAAAAGTTGTTTTCCTTCTAACTTCGATATTTAACGAGTTACGTATGATTANGAAAAATCTCGGAAAAATCGAAAATTTTTTTTTGTTATTTATTATTAGCAATGTTCTTCCGACGTCTGATTTCTTTTTAAAAAATGCGTTTCTAAAGTGCATAATCTTTTGGGATTGACTGTATAGCCAATACATCCTTAAACGGAGGAACGTTAAAGGCAGGACAGTTTTAGAGAAGCGCGTTCCGTTGATCATAGTCGTATTTATTATACCTAATCATGCACGAAGATACCCAGAAAGCATGGAATATTGTAGATGTTGTAGCAACATTGCTAACTTGCTGCAATTTTGATACAATATTTCATGCCGTCTGGGTATTCATCGTGAATTTAGAATGTCGTCCAAGTTCGGAATTAAAAGGCCAAAAGTGTAACGCAGAGATTCATACCTGTTGTTTAGTATCTGATTCGTATTTAGTATCTAATGTAATCTATTAAACAGAGAGACATCGATTCTTCTGTTCGCCGCCGATGGAAACACGATGGAAATTCGGCTCCTGTTTACGGCCGCTCGTTTTTCACGAGGACACGCTCGGAAACTTCGCCCGGGATATAAAAACTTCCGTATGACAACGGGATCCCACTGTTATCTGCTCCAGTCAGGATCGACATTACGTCGACGAAACAAAAACATCCCTTAACGCTCTACTTTTTGATTCCTCCACGAGAACGTATTATGTTACCTATAAACAACTAGCGACAGGGTCGTTTCGATCAGTGAATCTAAAATGTGGCATACTGCCACGGGCGAACGACCTTTGACCGATATCTATTGCGATATGAAAACCATAGACACATGGAAAAGTCTGCCGGTATTCAGAGTCGTTGCTTATTCTTAACTATTACATTATTACATTTTTATTGTATGAATACTATTAGAAGGCTGCTACTCGAAAACTAGTTGAGATCTGACCTCGAAATTTTAGTATGATATTTTTGAAGGTACAAACTTTCGAAAAATGAAAAAAAGGAAATCGATTCTTTTACAATTTTTACATTACAAAACACTGGGTAGGCCCCTTAAAGTGTCCGGTGTAGCTGGTGAGTACTTTCTCAGAATGCGTTGCTCTTTTCCGCGGAGGACCGACGGTTCGAAAACAGTTGTATCGTTCCATGTGATTTCTGTGACCCGAACAATTCCACACATCGATCGAGTCAGCTTACGCACGCGCAACCACAGATTCTGTAAGCTTACAGAAGAAAAAGAAACTTTTTAATAAGATTCGGACCTCCCTCCGTGTCCCCCATTGTGTTTGATCGTATCAAAAAATTCAATTGAATAAACAGGTCTCAACGAAACAAGGTAGCATCGATAAAACTCGAGAAAGTACAGTTGTGACTTTTGCAGATTGGAAGTATATCCCGGGATAAGAGTCTCGTTGATCTCTTAATTACCTTCTATATTCGCGTTTGCCAAATGTTTATTTCCCTGATCATTGGTACTAATAAAACTGAAACCAGAGCAAAACAGTGGTTTTCGGAACCTAGAAAACGTGCCAAAACTCGCGGTGCATCGCTTAATTAACTCCATCCATCACCCAAGTTACGCAGAAAAATCGCATCTGGGCGAAACGACATCCTGATTCTCGTTTAATAATCGACCAACGTCAAGTTTCGTCGAATTAATAAACTACGAAATAAAATCTAGATCGGAATTTCATTTTACTTCTGATTCTCTGCAGATAGAATTCTGTCCACGGATGAATCAAGGATGGAAACTTGCGAAATTAGTTAGACCAGTCGTAAATCCGATATCGAGTGCCGATATTTACGCGCCCCAGGAGGATAAATTGTCGAATGGAAATTCGTGTACACAATCCAAGAGAACGGCGTCGTTTTAATCGGACTTCGTTTCGAGGCCGAGCGCGTCCTAGAAAACGGTTCGCGTGATCCACGCGAGGCCCTCGAGCGATCTCGGCCTACCTGGGAAAGTGATTCGCTAAGTCTAGACGGCCGATTTTCACTTTCGAGCCGCAGGTTTATCGAGTTTCGTATACTCCCGTTAATTATTACTTTCGTACATCAAATACAAACAATTAAAGAGTACCAAAATATCAAAGGCAGTGTGTATATTTCGATACTTGAATTAAATGACTATATTAATTGCTATTTAATACTTCTTTTTGTTAAAAAAAATATGCATATATAAAAATACTCGAACTTCCTGACTACTCATTGTACCCAGAATACTCAAGTACAATCGTCATTCATTTATAAATTCTATACTGTATCGAGTGGCTACGTGCTCGACGTCAGGGAACGCATGCTGCCAGTGAGCAAAGACTCATTTCAGAACTCTATTTAAAGAAATGATTGCGGATCAATTTTGATTGGTACGTGTGAGGTAACGAGAGATCTGATTTACTTATAAATTGAAAGTTAAACGAGTAAATCTCACGAATACTGGTACCGGTTTAATATGCAAAGTGTCGGGCGGGTGCAATTTCGAGGTAGACGTGCATAGACAACGAAGTAGAATCAGTCTGTCACGAATTCTGTGAGGTAGCTGTGAAATTGGGAAAACTAGCTAGCAGGGCGAGCTCGTCAGGGGAACGTTTGAAAATACGAGCGCACCGACGACGTCGCCCGATAAATTTTCGACTTTACGAGCCCGTGTACTATTTGCATTCTTCTCTCCTCCTTCTTTTCCCTTCTCGCTCTTCTTTTTGTTTTTTAAAAACGGCCGACGACTCTTCCGTTGGCCACGATTAACGATAATACACTTTTTTATATACAGGGTGTCGTATTAGAAGAGAGGTGATTCTGTAAATGTTTCTGAATGATGTTTCTGAACAATAATTTCCTTTGCCAAAATGCAAAGTGAGGCACGGTTTTTGAATTATTAACGAAAAACACTGACCAATAAGGGCGCGTATAAGGCCCGCGCTGAGCAACGACCGAGCGTCACAATCCGAGCCGCCACTACGCGTGCTCCCATTGATCAGTGTTTTTTGTTAATAATTCAAAAACCATAGCTCACTTTACATTTTACCAAAGGAAATTATTATTCAGAAACACCTCCAGACTCACCCCTTTTCGGCTCTAACACTTTTTCTGGGACACCTTGTATATGCATATTTCTTGAATCATGCAGAAGATGATTATATTTGCAGAGACCTGACCAGCAACAACTTAACAGACATTCCAGTCCGTGCCTTCCATCGAATCAGCAATCTTGAAGTGTTGTAAGTATTACAGACGAATTGAAAATACATTATTGTTTCTCTAGCAAAGTTTGTTTGGGATCTCATTGTTTATTACAGATTGCTCCGACGAAATCATTTGCACACGATCGCCGACGATGCATTTACGAACTTAACGAGCCTTCGAGTATTGTGAGTGTTCGGGCAGAAATATTTCCAAAGAAAAGTTAGATATTTTATCGTGATAAAAACGGAGGCCGGACGATCCGTGCGAATTAACAGATTGAAACGGAGTCTCCCGCGTGTAGTGTTCGCGATTGTTAAAAGTTGTAATTCTCTGTCTGATTTGTAGGGAGCTCGATGACAATTATTTAACAAAAATACCGACCGCGATCGTAATGCTCTCTGGCCTTGAAGACCTGTAAGTGTGCATCGATTAAGTAAAATGTAATTTGACAACTTTTTTTTACACCCTATCAATTCTATTTCCTTGTCGAGTCACCATTCGCAAGTTAGAGGAACACCTTCTCGAACCTCCTAGTAAACGTATCATCACGCCATTCTCAGTCAGAATTTTTCTATCGTCATTCACTTTTAAACGGAGGAGAAATGATTTGAATTGCGAAATCGGATGCCGGTCCTTTTGTTTTTCATTTTTACCGACGCGGAGGAAGCCAAGAAAGTCGTATTCGTGTATGTTCCCTCGGTTTCGTAGGTCCTTGTCGAACAACCGAATCGAGATACTGGAGGAGCACGTTTTTCAACACGCCACTAATCTCCTGTCGCTGGATCTACGCGGGAATCCCATCAAGGAAATCCACGGGAACACTTTTCGGAATCTACGGAAGCTACGTAAACTGTGAGTGGCCGATTTATCGGTTTCTAAAAGTGCATCGGCCCTCCCTATGCGGCGATGCTTATCGTCACTATTTCTGTTGCCGAAGACGCATAGATTAAGGATGTATTGGCTATACAGTCATTCCCAAAAGTTTATGCACTTTAGAAACGCATTTTTTAAAAAGAAATCAGACGTCGGAAGAATAATGCTAATAATAAATAGCTACGTGCTGAAAAGTATAGAAGGAAATATCCAATTAAGTATTGACGCTGACGAAAATTTTTTTTTTTCAAAATTGCGAAAAATGCTTCAAATAAAAGTTTTTTTCCTTCTAACTTCGATATTTAACGAGTTACGTATGATTATTTGGCATTTTATTAATGTTGACAAAATCCGACCATCCCAGCGTCGAAATGGCGAACTTTTGACAAAAAATTTCGTTTTTTGTCAATAACTCCCGAACGGATGGACGTAGGGGGAGCATGTATAGGACCGTTTTGTAGGGGACGACGAGATCTACAATTTCCATGTAAAACTTTTTCGCTAGCATCAATAGTTTACGAGTTATTTGCAAAAAACTGTTTTTTAGTTTTTCGTCAATAACTCGTTAAATATTAATGCTAGCAAAGAATTTTTATACAGAAATTGTAGATCTCGTCGTCCCCTACAAAACGGTCCTATACATGCTCCCCCTACGTCCATCCGTTCGGGAGTTATTGACAAAAAACGAAATTTTTTGTCAAAAGTTCGCCATTTCGACGCTGGGATGGTCGGATTTTGTCAACATTAATAAAATGCCAAATAATCATACGTAACTCGTTAAATATCGAAGTTAGAAGGAAAAAAACTTTTATTTGAAGCATTTTTCGCAATTTTGAAAAAAAAAGTTTCTTTCAGTATCCTCTCGAATCTGAAGGAACTGAGACTGTTTCCGAATTTGAATGGAACGAGATCGTTAGAAGTGTTGAGATTGGATCGCGCACAAGTGGCGAGTGTCCCGGGAAATTTGTGCGAACAGTGCCCGAAATTGAAAAGCTTGTAAGTAATCATTCATCGAGATATTTGGAACGTTTTATGACATAATTTGTTTCATAGCTGAGTGAATTATGATATGGCAGAATAATTGATGAAATTATTACCGGGCTAGTGAATTCATTAGCTCGTGCGGTTGAATGACGATAATAAAATTTATATTCGATCGGCTTGACATACATTCAATAGAATTCTGTCGGTATATATTTAATATCACATCGAATTTCCATTTCCCGATTAACTTCCTCCTCTGCTTCTAGAGACATGAAATCGAATCTCCTGACGGAGGTGCCGAATCTACGAAATTGTTCTGAGTTACGCGTGCTGTGAGTACTTTTATAGACGAAACGCGGATTAATTATTATCATTGTACGCGTCAACGAATATTCATTTTACCAGGGATCTGGCCAGTAACATGATCTCGTCGTTGCTAGACGAGCCGTTCAGAAACCTGGGCATGCTGCACGACCTGCTTCTGTCGAACAACAAGCTGGAAATGATCACAGGCGACGCGTTCAATGGTTTGACGAGACTGCAGGTGTTGTAAGTGTTCTCACTCTCGATGCTCTCTCTGTATGGCTACTCGTTATCGTCTTGAGAAAGAGAATCTCCGATGTTTCAGAGATCTAGAGAGCAATTACATCGAGTATATTCATCCCGAGGCGTTTAAGGAGACGAGGCAGTTGGAGGACCTGTGAGCGCTTCGACTTCGTTCGAATATCTCTCGCGGAAAATGTACTCCGCTTCACGTGAGCACGTCTAATTTCAGAAATCTTGGGAACAACGTGTTCCCGGTACTGCCGACGCTAGGGCTATCGAGACTGTTGCATCTTAAGACGTTCAACAACCCGGCGCTGAGAGAGTTTCCAGCTCCCGAAAGGTTTCCGCGTGTGCAAACGATGGTGCTCTCGTACGCTTATCACTGCTGCGCGTTCCTGTCGGTCGCGGTGGAGGATCCGGTGACGAGGTCCTCCGTTCAAGAGTCTATCCTGTTCCCGACCGACAACGAGTTCGATATGAGCCTGTGGAACTCGAGCTTCACCGATATCTGGCCTCAGCTCAGTAAGTAGTTCGACGCTCTCACTCCCTTATTCGGATCCTTGGGGCTTTCTTGTCAAGTTGATACTGTTCGCGTTTTATAAAATTGTCGACTCACATCGACGAGTTCAAATTGATTGAAGATTTAGTAGAAGAGTATCAACCGAAGGTTCTTCTAATCGTTTTAACTCATCGCCACTAATCATCATTTCACACTTTTCACAATAATGTTTAAGAAATTCCTAACTATGTAATAATAATTTATCGCATTGCTTTGCTTCGCAATGATGAGACAGTTTGATCTTGTCAGTTTAAGCTTGTTAGATTTTTAGTTTACGAGTCGCTCGACACTTAAATGCTGCAAAGCGCAATTACGTTGGCAATTCGAAAATTTTCGTTTTCACACAGAGAAGATACTTTGGCTTTTATCATTCGATCATCCATGGCGAATCTAAAATTATCATACCAAGGGACAACTAGAAAGAATCGCAATCGTGTTTAAATAAAACATTTTGGATTCGTCATTAAATTCGATTCATCAGAACAGAGATTATCACGAGAAACTCGCAAGACGTCATCCATCGATTCGAAGATTAATAAAACGACTTTGCAGCACTGAAGTGGTGACGTGTTTTAGATAACATGACCGACAAATTTGGCTCGCAAATAAATGAACTTTGGGCTAACTTTGGTTCAGATTTTACGTACCCCGGCAACCTACCCTCATACCTTGAGGATTATTTCGAAGAGCAGAACAGTCGCGCTACGCTGCCAACTCAGACACTGCCTTCTCACGTACAGTGCCTACCTCAGCCTGGTAATTCCAATACATTACCTTCTTCGAAGACTCGAGATAAAGAGGAACCAAATGTTACATGCAATGTTCCAGGTCCTTTCCTGCCGTGCGAAGATCTCTTCGACTGGTGGACTTTACGCTGTGGCGTGTGGGTAGTGTTTCTACTCGCTATGCTCGGGAACGGGACCGTCGTGTTCGTATTAATATTCTCGAGGAGCAAAATGGACGTTCCACGATTCCTAGTTTGCAATCTAGCCGCGGCGGACTTCTTCATGGGCATTTATTTAGGTAACAAAAATACTATGTAAGAAGATTTAGAGTCCGGACTTTCGTTACCTTCGTTAAGAAGCAGAAATATCGATTCAATGTGCAGGATTATTAGCAGTAGTGGACGCCTCGACGCTAGGAGAATTCCGAAAGTACGCGATTCCTTGGCAGACCTCCGCCGGGTGTCAACTGGCCGGGTTCCTAGGCGTGCTCAGTTCGGAGTTGAGCGTGTACACGCTGGCAGTGATCACTTTAGAAAGGAACTACGCTATAACACACGCGATGCATTTGAACAAAAGATTATCGTTGAAACACGCGGGTTACATAATGACCGTGGGTTGGTGTTTCGCCTTGTCGATGGCGAGTCTGCCTCTGGTCGGTGTATCGGACTACAGGAAGTTCGCGATTTGCTTGCCGTTCGAGACCAACGGGAACGCGGCGTTGGCTTACGTGATATTCTTGATGCTGATCAACGGCGTCGCGTTCCTTATACTAATGGGATGTTACCTGAAGATGTACTGCGCGATCAGGGGCTCCCAGGCGTGGAACTCGAACGATTCTCGAATCGCGAAGCGTATGGCTCTGCTGGTGTTCACCGACTTCCTCTGCTGGTCCCCTATAGCGTTCTTCTCGCTGACCGCCACCTTCGGGTTGCAGTTGGTGTCTCTCGAACAGGCGAAGGTGTTCGCCGTGTTCGTCCTGCCGCTCAACTCCTGCTGCAACCCATTTCTATACGCGATCCTGACGAAACAGTTCAAGAAGGATTGCGTGTTGATTTGTAAAGCGATTGAAGAGTCCAGGGTGACCAGGGGGATCGGCAGATGCCGGCACAGCTCGAACTTTAGCAACAGGCAGACTCCTGTCAACACGAACAGCCTGGTGGACAGGTCGTCGAGAGATAATCAGACGCCCTGCGCCTGCAACTCGAGGTTACTCGAAGCCAGTCAATGCTCCGGCTATCGACGATGGGGCACCAGGATACTGTGGCCCTGCGCCAGAGACACCAGGCCCAGGCATGCGCGCAGCGATCAGTATGCTTACCAAATCGCGGAGATACAGCAGAAACAGCATAAGCGAGCCTCCTCCGTGTCCTCCAGCGAAAACTTCTCGTCATCCAGGTCAGACTCCTGGCGGCAGGCTCACCACTGTGGCATCCCGTTGAGGCTGCTCGACCCTAAACGAAGAGCCTCTTCTTGGCTGATTACCAGAAAACCGTCGCAAGACTCGAATCTCAGCTCCTCCAGGAACGACTCCTCGGGTTCCGCCACCACAGCCAGTACCAGTACCTGGAGGATCTCGAGATCCAGCGCGTCCCTCGAGGTCACCGCGAGGAATACGCCCAGACCGGCGAAATCGAAGCCAAGGTTGACCCGTCAGTTGGCGATCCAAGAACCAGAGCCACCCGGATCACCGAGCAGATTGGCGGTCAGGCTGCTCGCGACCATACCTTCCGCGGCAGAGACTAGCGATCAACAGGACGATGACAATATGCCACAGGTTTAAATCGTCTTACGCGTACCTCGTCGGTTCATTCGAGATTATATTAATATACTTGCTGCCATAAAACTAAATTTGTACGATGTCGAAATTCCAGTGAGACCGAACGAAACCTAAATTTAATTCGATCTCCGTGGAACGACGTCGTACGATTTTAGAATATATATATTACACGATAAACTAGAGATACGAGTATCGTGTCTCGTTGCTCCCGAACGGTTTCAGTATTAAATGTCCTCTGAAGGATCGAGGGTGTACTAACCCGTTACGTTGGCAATTCTCGCGTGTTTGAAGTTACGTGGACAGAGATAGTGGACGTTCCTTTGTATGATTATTTATGCCAATTTCGGTAAACGCGAGAGGATCGATCTACTTTTTTTCACCGTCCGCTATTCATGCACGCGTAAGTGTTTAATGTATATTTTCATTGGAGAACCGCGATCGGCAAATACAATAATCATAAAATACTGCCAAGGCTCATCGTGCGTTCACAAATATTCATTAATTTCACCCGATTATGTACGATGATAAAACGCGGTTTAACGATAGGGCGATGTTAAAATTAAGAATAATAACTTTAAATCCGGGATGAGGAACTCGATGTTCTGTATATAATAATTTTCGAGATCGACGATAGAGAGATTATTTATTAATATATTCATCAAGGGATGCGCAGTATTTTCTTATGCAGTTTTTCGTTCAGAAATCATTCAGCTGAAGCGGGGAATGCTTGTTTGTCCGTTGTTTAAACAAGGAAGAGTCGTTTTATCGTGGGATCAGTATTTAAAATCCATTGTTCGATCGTTAGTAAAAATGTTTGTGTTGTTATAAGACTGACGGTTTATACAAACACTGGAGCCAATTTCTTATTGAAGATCCGGGCGTACAATACGATTTCTAACATGCAGTTAAGAGCAGCGAATAGTTTAATTACCTTTTGGTCCATTGATTCTCAAACGAACGTAGTCAATGAATATATAAATTATCCGTAAGTTTTTACTTATTAACGCAACAATTATTTGAGAATTTATGGACCGAGTTGCGAAAATCTATTGTTACACGGTGATGAACGATCGTACAATTGTCCAGCCATGACACTATAGTTAATCGATCGTTAGACTATTCTCAGTTAGGTTACTCTAGCTTAAAGATTAATTATTATACGATCGTTACGGCGTGCAAATGTTTATACGCGGTTTTAAATTAATGGCAAAGATGTTCACTAGTATTACTTAGCGGTCTTTTATTTAACGAATGCGTCATGTTCGTTTCCCGCGCGAATGTGTTTTCACTCCCAATCGAGAACGAATATTCTGTTTGTTTAATGACAGAATCAGAGAGAAGAGTTTTTCTCTCTGATAGAATAACTACATCAGAAGAGCCATAAGGTTTAACGAACTTCCCAGTAGGTTTTCAAATGGATCTTTTGATCTCAAACTGAATTATGATGCGAGAATTTCGGACTGTGTGAACGCAAGCCGCGGTAGACTACAGCCGTGAACTTAGGAACAAGTCCGTGGCTACAAGTTGTACGTTGCGCACGCAATTCTTTTAAACGTTTAAAAGAATTTCTTAATGTACCGATAAACATGTTTCGCGTGTGTGTCCGGTCAGAACTATTTAATAAAGTTTTTCTAATAAAATAATGCGTTACGACGAACACGAGTGTTGAATCCTGATAACCTATGTGACGTGCGGTAGAGAGGGCTTCGTGGAAGTTTATTTTATTTTTGGTAAATGTCTGTGGCGTTACAAGGAAGACCTGTCCCGCCATCGAAGCGAGTTTAACAGTAATAGGAATAATTTAAATAGGTATTTATCTAAAATAAATTCAACTCTTTCGAACGGCGCCTTCCCACGCTGGCACGTACGTGTCACCAGCTAAAACCATAAGACTTCGTAGTATCAATTATAAAGGAATTGGAGTTCTGTCGAAGATTAAAATGTCTGCCTGAAATAAATGGCATTAAGAATTTTTAACGTGGCGTTCTGGTCACCGAAATGAATAGATAAAAGGTTTAAAATGTATGCTCTTCATTTTCTAAGACAGCTACAAATACTTCGTTTTTAATATCTATTTACAATATAACGTAGGATGTACTCGCAGGAAGATTCTAAGTCTCGTACTTTTGGCTGGTAGCACATATACACATAAAATTAAACTCTATTCTCTTTGCTCTTCCTCTCCCATTCTGTCTCTTTCATTCTTCTCGTTCACGCTCTCTCTAGTAAATTAGTCAGATAGTGGAGTCAGGTGTCTATACCAAGGTGATACAGATATGCACACAATATTGTAAACTGTCCCTTGTAAACGTCACTTCTAATCACAAAACACGTTGCTTCCTAAGAAATTAACAAACGCTACGCGTGGTCTTTTCACAGGACCGTTTAAGTACCAGTCTTCGTCAAAGTGTTTTCTCGATGCTTTGATTAAAATCACAAGGAATTTCGAAGTTCGTCGAGAGAATCGTTTAAAGACTGGTAATTAATGGCTCGATCACGAATTAATGGTAAGACGAAGCTGACACAGTTTATTCTCACAAACTCAATGTCCTACCATAAATCATTTTCCAGTTATAGAAATTATACTCGATGTTCTTTAAAAACTTTGTTAGGACGGTACTTTTTTTCAACGTACCTGATATTATGATAGGGTTTAACACGGATTTATTGCCTAGCGAACATTTGCAGTCTTACCAGCGAGAACAATTTTTTCTTCGCATGAGAAACCAAATAGAAAAATCCGTTTGAGGGAGACTGGAAATGAATTAATTGACACGGATTTTGAAGTTCGTTCGCCCACCGTTTTGATTAACTGTAGTTTCGATTCTATTAAGCATTTCAACAATAATATAATATACAATTGGCAGGATCGCACGACTAGTGAACAAAGCGTTCCTCACATGGTCGTGTTTAATCCGGAAGCCCCGTAACATCTCAACGATAAAATGTTTGTCTGAACTCTTTATAACTATCGTTTCTTCTATATTTACTAATTGAGCCTAGAATCGCCTCGATCGTATACAGACCTCTCTATATTTTATCGTTCACTTATTTCACACGTATCTATGCTAATCCAGCTTGGTCCATCAAACGGTCAGATCCCTTTGTCTATTGCTCTTACGATATTCTTATATCGATATAATACAGTTGTTTCTCAAGTTCAAGGTCTCCAAATGTAATTCTCACTAGGTAAGTGAAAACTTCTCCAACTCTCCAGTGATTAGATTCAGAAACCTTTAACGTTTGTAAGTAGTAAGTAGTATTAAACTTTCGAAAAGAAAGGATCTTTGACCAAGCGCAAGCTCGAGAATTGTTCGTCACTTTGATCGGGAGAGAGAAAGATCGATCAGCCCTGAGATATAAATGTGTCAGTTTTCCAATCAGGAAAGGAGCGTGCTATGTGTAAACTGGAATAATAAGCCGGTGAAAGGAATGCGAAAAAAAAGTGAAGAGAGAACTCTGATTCTCGCGTTTCCTAACGAATAATAACAGCTAAGTGGTAAACGAAATCCGGGGTTAAAATACACGGCAAAGTAAACGCACGTTACCCAAAAGGTCGGACAGCGAAAGACAGAGAAGATCAATTATCTGCGTGGACAGGGAAAGAAACTGATAAGCGTTTTCTCAATGATCTCCGTTTCGATGCTTTCTCAATAGGGCAGGAGAAACGGAATCACTGGAAGGTAATCGATGCGAGGATGGTATTTATTGCAATTGCCTTATTGCATCGAGAAACAATCACTTAATAAGACTCGGCTTCGAAGCTTATCACTAGATCTTCAGCCTCGCCGCACTTTGCTCCTCACGTTTATATATACGTGTGTGTTTGTATATATATAAAAAAAATATGGTAAGAAAGGAAGAAATCATTCCATCGGCATCTCAAATGCCTGCGACGAGGAATCGCGTGTACGATAGGGAACCGGAAATAATAAGTTAATTCTATAGTCTGTCTAGAAGCAATTAGTCGGTCAGGATCATTTTCTTCGTTCCGTATTTAATTGCACGCTGATCAGAGCCTTGAACTACGCAGATTTAAGTGAGATTCTTACAAGATGCTGTGTAATGATACTGAACAGGCTTTGAACAGACTATAGTCGTCTGAAAAATTAAAAGGTATAACGAACGTCGCGACGCTGACGTTAAAAAGAAAGAGGAACTGGGACAGAATTAAACGACATTAAAATTGAAACACAAATATGACGATAAAATGCCATGATCCGTGTGCGAATTATCATGCGATTCATCGGGGTCACAACAAATTTCGAGACACTTTATTCCGGTTAAAGAAAAAGATTTACACCTAACGACTACGACTAAGTATGAAAGAAGAGAAACGAAAAGTCGTGGTGTGTTAGAATTCCGTTTTGTTTTCCGTTTTATTTTATACGCTGGGAACTCGTCTCGGAAGAATCAAGGAATGGACGATCGTTAAATTGTATAATACTTCGTGGTCTCTTGGAACGGTAGAAAAGAGCTTTCGCTTCAAGAAAAATATTCCTTTTCGGTGATTACATAGGCCGAATATTGTCATGGAAAAACAGGAGAGACGTTCGTGATTTATTTATGATTGATGACTACACCTTCCCAGTGATTTATAAATTATTCACTGGCTATTATAATGCTTCTGAGAATGATATTATACGAACGAACAGGATAAAGTGTTTCCACTACTTTCAGGAAAAAAAGATACTTACGTTCCTACAGTCTGTGTAAAATTCGCTCTACCACCGTTTCCGGAGATATCCTCTGTTACAATTTTAATTCGACCAGCAATGTCTTAAAAAGAACAAGTGGAAAGACCGAGCAGCTTCAATTTAGAGAGACATTAGATATAATTAACTCGCAAACTTTACCATATAAAATTGAGATTCTTTCGCTGGAGAGAGACAGTAATGACTAAAAGTTAATAATGTAAGAGAAAACGTTTCGTTAGAAAGACGCTCGTACTACGAAGAGAGCTGCACCACGAAATGTAATGGAAGAGAAACGATCGTCCATCCTGGAGTCGGAATATTGTCGTGACTACAGAATTTCGACATGTTTAAGAACCTAGCTATTTAAAAACGGATGTCGCTTGGTTGGTGCCGTCTCGTTGCGGAGCAAACCGGGGACACACCGGAGCACCAAAAACATCCTATGCATGGCAGCCGGACAGAACATCGACTATTCTCAAATAATTTAACTCCCCCATCGTCAGCCATCGGGTCTATCTTTCTGCTTACTTAACTAACATTCCCCCACACCGCGATATTACTATTGTTTATAACTGGTCAGGCAGTGGCGAGACCGATTTGATTCTACCTCGTTCGAATTTATATTCGTATAATACATTAATGTACACGTAGCGAGTTATTCGAGAGATATTTACACTAACTATACACGTGGTGCCATCGCAATCGGATGGATTGAACTCTACCTCGATCGTTGGATAATGTTTCATCGCTCTGAATAAGAAAACGGAGTACCGTAGAATTGACTGACAAATCGTAAGTATCATTCGCACTAGTACCGTTTCCGCCCATTTTTTACTTCCTTGGAAGTCTCATAATACCCAAAAAAGAAGAATTTCAAGATTCCACGGTCGGTTCTAATAGCAGCGAACTCGAGTAAAAGCCGACACCTGATCCAGACCGAAGGGCTGACGAGGAAGACCGGATGTCCCTGCCCGGCCGCGCGCATCTCTGATCGTGCATTCGTCTCTGCACTTCTACTACATACCCGAGGCAGTATATCAAGCGATCAACCTTTCTCGGCTTCTCGGAGACGAGTCGATTTTTTTTTTGTAAGTGCACGTCGCGGTATGTACCATGTAATATGTAACGACTAATCGGATCCGCGGGAGAGTTAGCGTTAAGTAAGAACGTTATAACACAGTTACATCGTATGTATACGCTGCTATGCTGACTAGCGGGCTTCATCACGTGACCTTGGCCTTGTTCTTCCTGAAACCGGGGAACAGAATTTTCCGACGCCTTCTCTTTAGCTCGTCGTTGTCCGCGGTGGAGTTCGAGTCCGTCGACAGGGTCTCCTCGTCGACCGTCGACGGCTGCGGTTCCCTCAACGCCTTCCTGTGGCTGCTCGACGTGCTGGTCGTCGTGGGGCCGATGTTGGTCGTGTTCGAGCTCGCCGGGACCATTTTCTGCTGCTGGGCCGACGAGTCCAGCGAGTTCTCCGAGTAAGAGGTCTTCGACAGGAATGATGAGGTAGTCTTGTCCTCCGCGGCGAGGAGCATGTTCGTGTCCTGGCTGTAAGAGCGCACGATCCCGGATTTCTCTCTGCTGGAAGCCCTGACGGGCTCCTCGGGACCGTCGCCCACGGTGAAGTGAACCACGTTGCTCTCCGGCGGCGTTTCCTTCCCGGTCTCGCTGCTCGACGAGTCCGGAGGCACGGACGACTCCTTCCACGTTAAGCTGTCCAACGTACCTGTGGAGTAACGATTTTTGTGTGGCTTTTAATCTTCTTGGAAAGCTTTCGTCGACGTTACGCTCGAATCATTGAAAATTTCTAAATCTTCTTTATCACAAGTTTCATTAGATACTAATTGCGCTCTAAGATGTAATCAATTGTGAGATAGTAAAACTTCAGAAATATCAGAGAAGATCATGTTGGAAGTTTATCTTTCGCACCTCGGGAGATATTGATTTATTATTAGTTTTTGATATTTCAGCGAGGATGCGTTAAAATAACTCGGGAGTATATTTATCAGCCAATTAATTCAGTTTCGTAATTTTCATGCACTAAGATTAGAATCGGTCTCTCAAAAATCAACGCTACGAGGACAGTTACATGCAAATTCCAGTTTGTGAAAGGAAGAAGAGAAACAAACAACACGGTCAATGGTATTCCTTTATATTCTATAGTCAACATTATAAATTTTACTATAACAATTTGCCTTTCTTTTTTTTTAACAAGCGAGATGCATGAAAATTAACGATTCACGCGTTTTCAAGAGGCTCTTTCGATTCGCCTCGCACTGACTCTTAGAAAATTGTGCGTACCACAATTTTTGGTCCCGTTTTACACAAAAATGGCAAAAATCAACTTTATAAGTTACTGCTTCGAATAAATGATACGCTTTTCGTGGTTCCGTTGAGAAAAATGTTTGACGATTTCTATAGACTCGATTATTTTAACAGCAACGTTCGTGAGTTTAATTAATACATTTCTGGCAAGTGAATATTAGGTCAATGTAAAAGTTCCTGCCCGATTTTTAGACGATCACCATTTGGCCGATCTTCTTTGAAAAGCGAATCTATCTGGTTGTAAAAATGTGAAAGAAATAACATCTTCAGGCAAGGAGTTTTACATTGACCCAATACAATCAGTTTCGAATGTCTCCGTAATGATATTGTACAAGATATTGAGAATACTTAAAGAACATGTGGAGACCTTCTCTTTTACTGACTTACAAGCTACTGGTTAACATGTCCAAGCATATAGGAATTAACGTTGGTTTGCGGATAACAAACAAGTTCGCAGTTAGATTACAGTATAGTACTCAATATGCCAAGTATGTAATTTCACGTCTGTCAATCTTAGGTAATACGACATTATGCCAAGTGGCTGAATTCAGTCGCAAGTCATTATTGATAAAAGCATAGAGTTCCGAGAAGATCGGTTCGTATTGAAAAACCTCTCGATAAGTTTTATTCAAATTGAAATTACGTACTCGATTAAGTAATCAGTGTTTCGCGGTAATCGTTTGCGGCTTAGATCGTACACGGGACAAGGCTCCGTGGTTCCCTCGCAATTGATTTATTAACTGCGATCTATAAACTGCGTGTACACAATGAAACGGGGTAAATAACACACGTTGCGACAGTCACAATGTATAAATTCCTCTAGTTTTATCGTGGCGCGCGTGCCTCTGCGACACGCGCGAGTTTATAATAAGGGGAGAGCCGTTTCGATTGCTACACGTGAAATCAAACCGATTTCGGGTGGATCGCATACTTGTGCGTTGCACTTGCGAGTAAGATCCTCGGATATACACAGTCGCATCTAATTTTAATTGGCTCCAATATTAACCATGACGCGTATCTTCGAGTAAATAGAATTCGCTTCTTGGCATCATTTATCGCTCGATAGACCCAGGAATCAGAAATCTTCCCGGCCTATACCTGCGGTCAAAATTTTCGACCGTTCTACCGCCGCAAATGTTAAGGCAATCTCTTTATTTCAAATATATGTATATATATTCAGCTTTCTATACAATAGCAATAAGTAATTTTGATTAAAAAAATATATATATTTATTCACATACACATATATACGTATGTGTATATGTTCTAATTAGGACTCGGCAAGAAAATTGCACTTCCAGCGAGATCGCCGAGTTAGGATCGAAACCGGATGCTCGCATTTAATTCAGACTATAAATACGAGTCTGTTGTGCAACGCTTTGGTTTGAGATTTGGCAAAATTGAAACGCGCTCTCGGTGAAACTAGAAAACGCTTCGGTCGACGTCGCGCAAACTACTTTGGTTTTTAATATCTTAGAGGAAAATTAAAACGACGGTGTGTACATATATTTATAAGTATAGTGGTAATTACAAGTGATCGGGGGCACTTATTAATTAATGTGATAACTGGGTAATTATCACGATTGGCACTTGGTCGATACATTGCTATCGCTATACGAAGGAGCGAGTTAGTATATAAGGTTTATTACAAATGATTTAAGCGATCTTGCTTTTCATCGAGTCGGCCCACGAACGATCGAAGCCGTAGTAACAAGAATTGACCCTGGTGCAATGCCGATCGACCGAATTAACTGTTATTGCTTTTGTTGAGTAACTACCAAGTCTCTAGCGAGAAAGAGAAGTGCATTGGGAATAGAACGATGCGACGTACAAAAATACAGATAAGAGTAACTTCTTTTGCTTTCTCTACGGCTCGGATCTTCGCGCCACAGGCGCTTAAAAATAAAAGAACAGGGGATTTCTATTCCGTGTACGTGTATATCGTAAAAATATCACATCCTTCAGATGTCCTCACCTTTTAGACTCGTTCGATACATCGTGAAAAATTTAGTACAAAAATATGTCATGTCCTTCCGCCAAAATGTAGATCCTAACAATTTATTCTATCTATAATTTGTACGAGCAGGTAATTGAAGAAGCAAACCGGATAGAATTATCCTGAATCCTAATGATATACATTGCTCTTAGAATTGTCAACGATGAGTTAACGGAGCTCGTCACCGTTTAAACAGAGGCTTGACAAATCCCGACTGAGAAAAGGGAAGTTTTTGTTCGATTCGCGATCCTCCCTTTTCCCGCACACTTTCCTAATACTAAATTGCATTGTCATGTATCAGAGATTTAATTAAGTCTCGTTCGTAAGCATTTCACCGGTACAATGTACTCTCGATTGCGAACGTTTCGTTCATGTCACACATTACTTCGTCATTCCTAATAAATAAGTAATTCTCTTTATGTACGCTATATCGACATGCAATTGTTCAGATAAAGAGTTTCTAATTTTTGAACAACATAAATAATATGCATATATACACATATATATAAACAAAATATGTATTATGTAGTGCCGATTCTAATCTTTTTTCGAACCACTATGCATGGTTTCTTCCACCCCTAGAATCAAATAATAGTAATATAACATAAATAGACACGAAGTGTAAAAGGAACACAACTCAAGTTGTTAATCAGATAAACATTTAAAAAACCGTACAAGAAGATCGATATATGTACACACACTCCAGTTGAACGGACTTCAACAAATTTCAAATTGAGAAGCATTAAAAATTACATATTAAGCATTAAATATGATAAATAAGTTCTTAAACGAATACGAGACGATTACAAGGTTTTCAAAACAGGTACAACTTTACACCAAGTACGATGATATGTGAAAACGTAATTTAAACAAACGTAAAAACAAACGATCAATAACTTCTAAGCAATTTGTTAAAAAGTCATGACGATACTATTTTTTGTACGTCGCGTTATTCATCGACGTACGAAGCTCTCTTAAGAACAAACATTTTTACTTCTTAATTGCTTTTCCTTTTACTCGTAATGTGTGACATCAGCTCTTCGCATCGCTGACAGGTAGCGATCGTCGGAGGAATATTAAACGCATTTTGTGTCCATGATTTGCAAATGCAATCACATTTATAATAAGAAATCTTAAGGCATCGCGTGATTCTTTTTATCAGTTTGTGTTCCGATAGTAATTTCCAACGAGGAATCCTCGCGAAGAATTCTTCTTCGCAATATCATTTTATCTTCCTTGACGTACCAACAGGTGAACTGAAGCTCTCGCGAGAATTAAAAATCCGAGGAAACGCGCGATAACTTAATTTTCTATTAGTAAAAACGAGAATTAATGTCACGGATAACCCAAATCACTACTACTAGGAAGACAAACGAGTTAGTAAATTACTGATCTCGAAGGCGTCAATATCACGCGAGACAGAGAGAAAGAAAAAAAATTGAAAGTATTTAGGTACCGTGAGCGTCATATCAAGACAATATTATATACAAATATTGAGCATTGTTATTATCAATCTATATGCTCGTAGGAGTCCGTTTCCTGCTTACCTGCGGCACCGCACGATGAAGGCGAGTACACTGAGCTTGCTTCGTCGTCTAAGTCGTCTTGGCTACTGAGTCGGCCTGTAATCATAAAACAAAAACGATTATTCGCATTGATTTACATCCTGCACGTGTAAAAAACTGTGAAACAAATAAGCTGTAACTGTAAGCACCTCTAAATCCAAGTCCTCGCCCGTTGGGTGTCCCTCTATACAGAACGGTTTCTAAATAATTTATACCATTGTTGTTAATTATGTTGAAGCCACACAACAGCTCGATCTGCTTCCAACGATGTACTCTCTCCTGCAGCTCCATGGTGACTTCGTTCAACGACGTCCTCGCTTCGACTATACTTTTGTCGACCTCGTCAATCGACTTTCCATGCGTCGAGACGAACGCTCCTACTAAACTCGATCGTTTTTTTCGTAATTTCTCGCACTAGAAACAAATACCGATTGGTGCAGTCAATCTCACTGTGTTCGTAGATCCAATATGTATTACTTACTGCTTCTCGCGCTTGTTGCAGTTGCTTCTCGGCAACTATCTTTTTTTTCGTGTACGCCTTATTCTCAATTTCGTGAGTCAGTTGTAACCAATGTTGAAGTCCCGGAGGAGGTGACCAGCATCTATCTTCGAGCTCTCCCTCTGCGCGTTGCAATTCAACTTTTAACATCTATAAAGTAACACTCGATTTAGCTCCGTAGGAAATAACGTCAGATGCATAAGAATACGTGCGAGACTCACTTCGATCTCTGCTTTCAATTGAGAGACTTCGAGATCCGAGTACGAGGCATGCAACCCCACGGTTTCATCTTGTAAACGTTTCTCTAAATTTTGTTTCTCCGTAGTCACGCTCTCCTGTTCCATTCGCGCTCTTTCCAACTCTTTCTGCAAATTGCGAAACATTCGATACTGAGAAAATTGCGACACGTCGATAAAAACTGAATGAAAATAAACCAAGAGATAACGTACTTGCAAGTCTTCGAGTGCCAGCTCCGCTTTGTGCAAACTTTCCATGTCCTTCATCATCCTATGAAGATGCTTCTGTGAATTTTTCTTCTGTTGATACGCATACCAACATCCGATAAGCGCCCCGAATAATAAAGTAATTAATATCAAATCTTTCACGCTATGTCCAGTGTCTGCAAGACATTAAATAAATACTTTAAACCGAATTAAGGAAAATACTTAACGAAGGAACAACTGTTCGATAATTACCTTTTGGCGGGCCAAAAAGTACCACGTCCATAGCTTTTAAGGCAATTTTTTGTTTGTGGATGGGATCCTTGATTCCCAACACATTGCTTAGGTAGTGCATGTTGTTCACAGCCAGCCTATAGATACAATTATTTATCTAATGAAATATTTCTCTATAAAAGATCGTGGAACATTTGGAAGAAGAGGCTCACCTTGGAAGTGTAGCACCAGTCACACGATGTTGTATAAAAGTAGGAACATATTGAGGAAGCTCTACATTAGAAGTTAGCCATTCCGATGTCTGCTCGATGGTCCAATTATGAACCTGGCGAAGGATCAGATTTGTACATACATCCGGTTTAAAGCAATTCAATAAACAATTGCAATTTAGACAATACCTCAGACCTCAGCCAGGCTTCCCAAAGTTCTCGAACGCTAATATGCATATCATCATTGTGGTGGAAAGCCCTCTGCCTCCTCTCGTACCCAGCTTCGTATTGCAACTCCTCTCGTAAAAACTATAAGCGATATATTAATTTTTGTCACTTCAAGCGCGAGGAACACGGGGGTGGAAAATGTTGCTTACATCGTCCGACTCTGAGAGGTCCACATTTCCATTGGCATCGTCGTCTAGTTGACTGTGGAGTGATTTGATAGCTTCTAAACCTAGTCGATCATGAGAAGCCAGTGTGAGACAAGCTAGGTCATCTTTACAAGTATCGGAACCTGTAATAAATTAAACAGCCTACGTTTGATTGTATGTGTTTATGATTACATTTAGTTTGTTATACGCTTGTGCCTTTCGTGGCTATGCTTGACCTGTTAAACATGTCAGAAGCTATCGTCTCGATTACTATTAATATAAAAAGAACGATCATACGAGAGATGTATCTTGTTAATAGACACAGAGCAATTATAATGTTACTCTTTCGATAATTAAATCCGGCATAGAATTTATCTCGTAGAACCGAGAATCGTTTATCATAAACACATTTGTTTCTTTTCGCAAACAAACGGCAAACACATGTGAAATCAAAACGAAACTGTCTAGATCAGAAACCTCACAAATCTCCCAAACAAAACGATACCACAATCAAGAACAACTATTTGTCTTCAGCAAACTAAACGGTACTACCAATGTCAAGCACAATCATGCGTATGCATGCCGTGTATAGCTATCTATGTGTATACATATACGGAAAGTCTAAAGATAAAATTAATGAGACATGTTAGATGATTGATTATGAGGTAACAGGATAAACGGAACCGTGAACGATGTCTAGATACGATAGGCAAAGGGTACTGGGAAATAAATAAATAGAAATATATATTTACCAGCTTCGTGGGCTACTGCCTGTGCCAATCCATCTGTGAGCGTGCCAGAGAATGGTGTAACTTTCGGTGGCGCGGTTCCGGAGGAGCTAGACTGGAAATTCGGACTCCCGTCGAGGGCCCCGCCGCTGGCATTTGTCGTGTTGCAACACCAAAGGGATAAGTGCAGCCCGAACAGTACGATCACATTGGTAATCACGGATACTCGCATCTTAAGGTTAGGTACACCTTGTCACTGACACCTCGCGCCACCCTCGCGCAGCTGCTTCGAGTCAAATAAAACCGACTACTCTTGGCCCGTTGTCACCTTTGACGTCGGCTCGCAACGGTGGATATACCCAAGGTTACAGTTATCAAAACCGGGATGGCAATGCGACTTGACGAGTGCATAACACGCGTCGCCGTTATGATAGTATTACTGCTGCTCCGTAACCGAACTCGCGCACCGTCGTTATATCAGCCTTATCAAGGCGGCGGTCAACGTCCGAGATCTCTCTTCTTAAAATGAATCGATTGATTTATTAATTAAGTACACTTCGCTCCCGTGACGGATTTTCCTGTCAAGGCCACCGTCCACGAACAACGCTGCAACAAAATCGGTAATTTAGATCGGAAACAATGGTGCACTTTCCTGCACTGCGGAAAATGAAAGTTCGATTGGTCCAGTCCATGGATATCTGTGTGACATCCGTACGAGTTGATTGGATCGCCGGTTTGCTGCACGGCGGTCATCGTCAGTCAGCGCTTGCAGCGCAGCGCGAAAATCATTTATAAAATGTTCCCTCGCAAATCACGCGATAGAACTGTCCTACAGATTTTCACAGATTTTGGTCGACGGCTTTGTCCCAGCTTCGCGCTGATTTAAATATCGTATTAGTAAAATTAATAATTAAACGATTATGCGTTTATTCATAATTGTTATTGTTATCTGTTGCTTATTTTTAATTTGTATCTTCAACCCAACTAGCCAATCTCAAGAGGATAGTATGGATAGTACAGTTTTCTAAGAACGCACGATACGACCGTGTCTATTGGGTTCGTGGAATTCAACATTGTTAGATGTACATAATTGCGCAATTTTTCCGATTGCATTCAGTTTATACCGAGATCCAAATTAGTATGAAACTTGTTTTTAAAACAACGACGACTGCAGCTTCGAAGACAGCGTCTACTGCCATGCGGATGGAACCGTATTCAAGCGTATGAATAAATCACCGTTATGTTCGTTTCTCGCTGATTTAATTATGTTTCAACGACCTTCTGCAGAATTTTACGAAATGACATCGAGACAGAACTTTGATAAACTGTACATTCGATATTTCCAATCGTAAGTTCGATAATGTTGTTGGTCGAAGTGTTACCTGTGAACTCTGACAAATTCAATGGCTCCGTGCGCTCGCGGAGTCGAAACGTTCAACATTACTGGTGTTTAAACTATTCGTGAATACGTACAAATGGAAAGCAACGGGAAAAACGACGACTGTGAAGTTCAAGGTGCCAATTCGATAATAAAAAGAGATGACGTTCCGACGCAAAGTGCACAAAGTAATTCCGACACAAAGGTGTCCACGGATTCGAGGAATCCTCAAGCTCGTGTCGTTCGGGGAACGAAAAAAATGAAATTGGACGTTAGCGATAGTAATCATTTGGAAAAGAAAGGTTTGTTTATTAATAGTGTTTTAATGACACATAACGATTGAGAGGCATCTATGAGAGAAACATAGTCACCAAAGTGCGTATTTGATTTGATCACATCATTGAAAAATGCACTTTCATTCAGATACCAAAGATGACGAAGGTAACACGGAAGCGAAAGTAAGATCTATGAAGAGATCTTGCGAACTATGGTCTTTGGAAGATAAAAACACTTTCTTCAAGGCACTGAACGAATATGGGAAAGACTTCGATGCTTTGCAGAGTTATTTCTTGAGTCAAGGGAAGAAGAAAGGCCTGCCAGAAAGTATGATCAAAAATAGGGAACAGATACGGCACTTTTATTATAGAACTTGGTTAAAAATATCCAAGCATTTAAAGTTCTCAGAAGGTGAGCACCGGATAGTCCTTTATAACTCTACATTTATATTAATTGCACATTTGTATTCTACAGATTTAAAGAAAACTTCACAGGAATTATATGGCTTGATTAATTTTGGCGAGCTCAGGAGAAAATTGCCTAGAATCTATGAAAAGGTTCATCTGAAGTTAAACGAATTGGTCTACTGGGGCTCGACTCAAGTCAGGCTCAGAGGAAAGACTATGAGAATTAAGACACCTATATGTAGAGCACTCAGGAAGTTAAATCAATTAGAAGGTACGTAGTTAATAAGGAGAATTTATGAAACCAATCATTAAACTTCTAGCAATGATATTTTCACAGACTGGCAAGAAGAGATTAAACTGCCTTCTAGAATAACGATTGAATTGAGACCACGTAATAATATAGCGTGGTGGCAGGTACAAGCGTTAGCGATGAACCCTCGAGTACGCACGTTGCTACCTGTACAAAGACGCTTGTCTAGTTTACTAATATTTCTGCAGCAAAGATGGAAGCCAGCGAAATATAATACGGTATCCTTACTCAAAAATAGATAACTATCATTTTCATAAAATAATCTGGAGAAAATCCTATACATAGAATTCAGTCCCCTAACGTAGAGAATGCTATTACAAACGAGATGAAAGATACTCGACTTATACGGGTGGCACCGCCTGAAGGTTGTAAGATTTCTATTCCAATCGTGAACCTCGGTGAATATCTGACGAGTAATAGCGTCAGTTTAAACTCCTACGAGAAACGTCTGGGATTGAAGAGCTCCAGAATGGAGTTGTTAGGCGTTGGGAAGAAAGGAATCAAAAAGAATAAGATCGATAAGAAGAGTCGAATAGAAGATAATTGTACTATGACAGATAATAACACTGAGGATGTGGATGCAGTAGAACCTGGCAGCAGCGTTTCGGAAAAGCCCTCTATTATTAATTGTAATGAGAAATCTAGTCCGGAGCAACACGCGGAGCCCAATAGATTCCCAGGGAGAGAAACCGTCGAGAGGATTCGCGAAGGATGGAACGTCGACGAGGCAAACACCATCACTGTCGGAGATCTCTTTTTGATGGTACATTTGGGAAACCTTATTAGTCGCCGGTAATGCGTCATCCCTAATTTTCTAAGTTTTGTAGTTCGGTCGAGAGTCGAAGATCACACTGGAATATTGGTGGGACTGGAATCTTCAGAACCAACAGAATGGACAGCCCGCGACAACGAGCGTGCGTGACAATAATCAGTGTCTGATGTTGCAAAAGCTGTTGTCGATAGCGAAACACAGTTACGATACAAATAAAGTATATGATAACGCTTCCGGGAGCAATGAAACTGTGATCTCGACACGAGTACTTTCGAAGGACTCTACCTTCAGGAAACCATTAATTCCGCAAACCTACCACACGATCGGAACCACGGATACTTTCAAAACCCAAATAGATGTACGCTGATAACTCTTGTATTTGCTATTTTTTTTTAAGGAATTGAGAACACATCTTTTAATGCATTGACTTTGTTTCTTGTAACGTAGACGTTTAAAACGAGGTTTAGCAAGAGAGGTAGAACCGTGAGGCGAAAGAGTCTCGTCGTGCAAAGGGTATTGCCGTTAATGTCCGCGACGAACAACTCTTTAGAAGAAGTTCCATCCAACTCTCAAGAGACAGATAAAGCGAACGACGTTCTGTTGAACAACAATGAACAGAGTGATAAATCGCAATCAATAATTATAAACGAAGCATCGGATAAAAACTTTTTGGATGAACTCGAGGTGGCTAGAGACCCGAAGCCTACGAATTCGATTATAACGAGTGCCACGCAAATACTTAAAGAGGGAGAACATCAATGGTTGAACAGTGAGGTGATTATCGAATTTCTGACAGTGGGAAATAATCGCTTACGTTTCTGCTGATATCGAACTTAAATTAATTATAGGTAGCGGATTTTTCGTTAAGCAGTTTCTTAGGTCAATTGGAGTCTCCTACAAAGAAGAACGGAGACAATATAGTAGAAGATAGACCGCCGTCGGACGTAAGTTTCATAATGAGAATCAACGTTCCGATTAATGTCTAAGAAAATCTAAAAAAAATACAAATTGCAGGTTGTCTCACAAATGCAATGCCTGATGGGAGAGAGCAGCGTTGACTACATGGCGAAGTTCGCGAATCTCGCCTCTCAGTTCGTGTCGGACGATAATAAAAAATAAAAGTCTAGCTTAATTTTGTATAAATTTCTATTAATTTTAAGTCGTTTTATACTGGTTGGCAATGATGTTCGAACTGACTTATTTATCTCTTTGATATTGACTTTAGAAGATACAGTTGAAATAAATAAATAACGAGTAACAACTGTTCTTCATTAGCTGTTCACGTTAAATACTGTGTACATAAATTTTTGTTTTCCACTCGCGTTTTTTCCTACACTAATTAGTACAAAGTTAATTGTTGCAGTGTTTTTAAATTCCCGACGTTACGTTCATTCATGGATCTTCATAAATATTTCATACTATGTTTGATATCAAAAGATTTATTGAAAGCGTTGCTCGAATGCAAAATGAACCTGTTTATAGGTAATATTAGGTATCCTTGTTTAATCCGCGAAGTGACGCGGCACTTGTTTGTGAAATCATTTAGGCAAGACCTCATGTATGTGAATATACATGTGTGTGCGTGTTCGAATTAAGCAAAGAATAACTTCCTTCGGAATTGTAATTTGAAAAATATCTGCTAGTTTACTATCGACAATTTTAGCTACCTTCGTAAAAATCGAAGGGCCTAGCTGGATAAGGGGGTCAAATATGCTCTTGAGCCGAATGAAGCGCCGTTTGCGCCATTCGATAGCATATCAAAAAAGAAACATTCACTCCAATTTTTAGCCCTATATCTCAACCAGAGGGGTAGTAATCGGGAAAATTCGAAAAATCAGTTTTTTGAGGTATTTCCTTACTTAACGCCTTGCGAAAAATCTGAGAAAATTCTGACATGTTCGTAGTGTAGCTGGAGATGTCTGAGAATTTTTTCAAATTTTTCCCTTGCAAAATGTAGCCGTGAAAAATAAAAAAGTGTTAAAAATAATTTTTTCACATAGAAATTGGGGGGATACCACTTTCA